TTGGTAACCTTTGCTCCCACTGTCATTCATACAAGAAAAGTGATCCTTGGGTTTTAAGCCCCTATGTTGTGACCATATTTTATATTTAAATGCAAATATTCGTTTTCATTGTTGCATTAAAAAGCGAAGAGTTAATAATAGTGTACAGAATGATTACAATGGGTGGGTAGTTGTTTTTTGATAAAATAGCTCCTCTATTCCATTGAACTGTACATTTTTATCTTTCAAAAATTAACTTCAGCACACTAGGGACACAAAAGCCTGTTAACTAAATCGGGTTTGAAGGTGAAGGCAAATACAGTTATTAATTTCATATAGGAATAAATCAATTGGTTTAACATGAAAATATATACCAAAACGTAGAAATATTCACGTTGTAATGTAATTAAGTTTATTTATCAAGTCGAATCATAGTCTCATTGGACCGTGGAATTAAATGTGGATTTTAATAAAGATACACTAGTATACAAATTCATATTACCAAGCTTAATTCGTTGAGACTGAACAGTTAATTACGGTATATTTATTATTTTACTAGGCACAAACAAGTGTATTTTCAAACGGTTACGACCGTGAAAGACTAAAAAAAACTATAAATAGGGAAGTAAAATGAGTAACATTTATTTAAAAAACAACGAAAGATTGGTTTAGTGTTTTGAGTAGTATTGCCTGTTTCTGACTGATAAAAAATAGTATTTCCTCACTAGGGCGTAAAGTGACTCTTTTTGACCCGAGCTTAAATAAGTTTCACTTCTGTTCTTTCTAAAAAAAAGAGTGAGGCTCGAAAAGACACCTTTTGCGTAATGTAATATTTTTGTCATATTAGAAAATAGTTTTCATGTAAAGAAAACCCCACAAAACAACTTCCAGCTTGTTTACAATAAACAGCTGTTCAGTCATTGATTTGACCATTTCACTTCTTACGATTGACTTACTGTACTATCGATATGTCGACTACTGACATTAATGCAGCAATAAGCTACAACCAATTAAGTCAATCGATAAATAATTACGAGACATTCAATTGCATACAATCGAAGTTTACAACAGCTGACTTTTACTCCCTAGGGACTAAAAAGGCTTTTTACTCGTTAGGGAGTAAAAGAACTACTTTAATCCTGTTGTATTGAAAATGGCTGTTTTGCTACTATCTCTTTTAATATATAGTTGTACTTCATCTTTTTTTGAAGGAAGCAATTTGAGGCGGGAGCAAATCATGCCTAGTTTTCAGTGGAATTGAAGAAAATATTTATCAAACGAGAACAAAGTGATTTTGTCAATGTTTTTTAGTAAATATATTATTTAATTTTATAATCAAACAAGTAATTTACCCAACAATCTTGTTAAACAGTAAAAGTTTAAAGTACTAGCTTTATCTATATAACATAAAATATAAGTGTTTTATTCAAAAATGAAAATTGTATTTTGTTGTACTCTATTTGAATGTAAGATTATTTATTGGCTTTAAAATGAACTCAAGAAATAAATATGGAAGTACTCATAACCATTATGAAGTGTTTATTCAAAAATGAAAATTGTATTTTGCTGTACTCTATTTGAATATAAGATTATTTATTGGCTTTAAAATGAACTCAAGAAATAGATATGGAAGTACTCATAACCATTATGAGTCTACTGCTAATTTGCCTTTAAAAAAATTAGATACCAATACAAAGTTAATTAATTTCAAATTTTCTCCTAAGCAGTTTCAAGATAATTTAAAAAAATGTGTTAAATCCCTCTTGGCAATACAAATTAACAGTCTTTGCTATCACTTTAAAATTATAAAGATGCATTGAGTTTAAATTAAATTAATTGTCTAGCTTGTCAAACTTATGAATTGATATATTATAGGATTTTGAATGTATATTTTAATAAAACTATACTTACCTTAACCTTTGTGGTCTTCGATGAAAAAGCAGCGTTGAAAAATCTAACAAAAATCACTTTCTTCGACCATCTTTACTTTCTAACACTTTTAAATCACAAACAACCCTTGAAACTCATTTATATGAATTCAACTGAGTTTATATTAAACCACAAGAGAAGTTAATACTTAATTTTTTGCAAGTTCATTTTTGCACCAATCTCAGATAAATAATAAATACATTTAAAGAAAATTTGTATTTCAATCAAAACCAAAAATATGAGTATAAAGTGAACGTTTTTATGACTATATACAACTCTTTAATCAAAAGAGTAATAATTTGAACTGAAATAATTATTCACAATATATTTAACATCTTACTAAAAAACAATTCATGGTTTTTAGAACTCAACAAACAATAGAAGTTTACCAAAGAAAAATTGCAAATTAAAGTCGAGTTTTCAAAAAACAAATATTTGCTGAACAACCAAAGTTATTCCAGTATACAAATTCATAATTCATATAAGCCAAAAATGTTTGATACGGGTAATTAAGAACATCCAGCTTCTATAAAGGAACAATGTTTATTTGATACATAAACTAGGTAACAAATTTAAACTACAAGTCTTCAAAACTGACATCTTAAAATACTTTGTGTTCAACTTAAAACCTATTATAATACTGTACATTAGAGTATAGTGCAACAAACGCACGTTTGTATTTTGTACTATGGGGAACGGACTTTGAACAATCCAGATTGTGGCACCGTGATCAACATTGGAATCACGGAGGAACAACTTAAAAAGGAAGCACCTTGTAAACATAAACACCGCTAACTTCAAAACATAACTTCAACAAACTAGTAATCAACATTGTAAGAATTTAATCAAAACAAGTTTCAATATTGGTTAAACAATAAACAATTATATCTTCAACAATGAATGGAATTGATTGTTCAAAGTGAACGATTACATTTGAGGTGTTTTATTGCAAAATATATTCCACAATCTCTACAAAGAATGTGTTTCACTAACCCAATCATTGAGGACCTTCTGTTTACGTATACAAAATAATATTTGGTGGCTCCTCTATTTATCACAAATACGATAAGTATTGCCAGAAACCTAGAGTTTGCCAAACCGTGGACTGTCTTTATATTGCTTTTGGTAACTGTTGAACTATATTTGTTAACGGAAAAGTGTCCTTGAAATGGGAGAATTTGTCTTACGCAGCTATCCCTGTAAAATTTTGACAAATTCGCTTTGCCACAAAAAATGACATAATAGTTAGATCAAAATTTATTACAAAATACAGTGGGGATGTTTTCTTAGACAATTTTTTTAATTCTTCAACCATCAGCCGATCGTGTAAAACAGAAATTTTTAAGAAATTAACCTCAGTGCATATTTTACAGGAAAAGCTGACGAAACAAAAAATACCTTTTGAAAACCCACTAAACGTAAATTTGAAACAACCCTAGACCTCACGTAAATAAAATACAGTCTTTACCTCATTTCAAATGAAATTAAAATTCAAAATCAGCAACAAAAGCAATTCAAAGACGCTAAAATCTCAAAACATATAGTGTTCGACAGCACGGGACACTTTATACCACACTAGACTTATAAATACACTTTCTGAAGTCACTCACTCTCTGTACAGAACTTGAGCAAATACTGTATTGCGCACAAGATGTCGGCAGTAACTTAACATATAAAATAATAGGAACAGCAATATATGGTAAACAACATATATACACAGTCGGCTATGTAGGAAACTTGATACCACAAAAAGACGGAATGGAATGTAGTGTTGAGGATGATAACATCAGATTTAGGTTCAAAGAAATAAAAACATGTGTTTTAGTAGATGAAACATTAACTAAATAACAGGAAATAAGTTTGTTTTAAAGCTATGTCATTTGCAAGTAAGTAAAGATGTTAAACGAAATAAACTATTTAAATGCTTCGGTTTGTAAAGTGACTCATTTGCAACGTGTTTGAGAGGTCATAACGATCAAAACATTTAGATTTATTTAAAAAATATAGAAAAATAATTATTAAATGGAGAACAGGAATAAATTAAGTTACTACTAGGATTTTTTTTAGGGTGTTAAGTAAAAAAATAAATATTTTTTACCGAAAAACAAAGTCGAAATTAATAAAGCAATTACAGCGTTTTAGATCAAAAAGTTAAGAACATTTCTCTTATTGTACAAGGTTCTATTGCGAGTGAATTGTTATCTAAAATCCTTTTTTTGATAATTTAAATCTTGGTAAAATTCTAAACACAAAGCAACGTATTTTCGTGATCGTATGATAACTGTTTCCGAGTTAATTAAGTATAAGCCTCAAACGTAATGGTCCTGGAAAGTGATTAAATTGCATTACGATATAAAAAATAATATTACACATTTTTGAAATAATAAAATAATATTTACATCAAATTTTGTTTGAAAATATTTTGATTTTAAATCGATCTCTGAAGCACTTCGCAAATGGCAAACGTTTACAACAAACCATGTTTTTAGTAGAAAGAGAAACTGTTGTGAAAGCTATCCATCTTTTTGTGGAAATAAAAATATATAACTACAAAACTATAATAAATTGAGGAAAATTGTAGACTGGCACCAATAACACCTTATGAGATCATGTGGCATGATCAAATTGAAGCAAACTTTACAATCAGGTACTGGGTTTATACCCTAGTATTAACATCTGGCACATAGACTTCATTTGGCACATACATCTAGACCGGTTGGCACGCAAGTATTGCTATAAAACAATAGGTTTATCAGATTAAAACCAATAATCTTATCACTGGGATTCGTCCCTACTACATCGACGATGTAAAAAATATATAAGTATACAACAATGTACATTATTAACCTAATATTTACTGACCACTGGAATAATCTGTTCAAACTAGCACAAAAGCAAGGTTTTTATGCCAAATAAAAAATGTAAACCTATCATGTAACCAAAATGTTAAGGATATTTAATTTAAGAATAAACTATTAATGTAATATTGCAGCTTTATCAAAAAGAATGTACGTAATAATTGTTTAACATTTGACGCAGAAAATTATTGAGCAACACATAAAATAAAAATCTTGTAACAATTGTAAAACAAATACACAAAAAACTTAAACTATAGCAATAACACTTTGAATTTTACCAGCAAAAACGTTATTACAATAATAAACAGAATTAGAACAATGTTTGCAACCCGATATCCTAGGAAACATTTGTGAGAACAAGTTTGCTTCAATATGATGGTTACCTCTAGTCAGTGGTTGACCGACAGCGGCTCGCCCAGCTTGTGCGAGGTGTTCTCCACCAGAGAGTACACCCGAGATATGGAGTACTTCTTCCTGTGGGTCTCCTCGTGCTTCACCATGTGGTCCTTGCGGATGAAGCCCTTGCCGCAAATGCCGCAGCAGAACGGCTTCTCGCCGCTATGATGACACATGTGACGACGAAGATCCGTCTTGTGGTTGAACTGTTTCGGGCAGAGTTCGCATTTGTACGGTTTGTCCCCGGCGTGTTTACCCAAGTGCTCCAGATGTTGTGATTCGACCTCGAACCTTTTCCCGCAGATTTCGCATTTGAACGGTCGTTCTCCAGTGTGGAAGCTCTTGTTGTGCTGAGTGAGGTAACATGCCTTGTTGAAGACTTTGTCGCAGTCTATACACCTGATCTGAGGAGTGATGGGCGCATCTCTATCTGTCATGGTGCTGGAGACGTAGTTGTCTTCTATTTTCACGTGCTCCAACATCACCGGTTTTTCCAAGTCGTCTTCTGTCGATGTCGGAAGCATGTTTTCGGGAGAGGAACAAGATTCTTCGTAGCTGCCGTGCTCAGAGAGAGGTAGAGTGTTGCTATCTTCAGGGGCGAGGATTTCTTTCTTTATACTATGTACATTAGAAATGTTTAGCCCGGGTGCTGGACTCGTAGACGGATAAAAAGACTCCATTCCTGAAGCTTGAGACGGACTGAGCCCCCCCACGTTCATTTCTGACACGCTGGATTCTTGCCGCGGCGCACTGTTGTAAGACGCGAGTGACGGCGCGAACCCGAAGTTTTGAGCGAAGTGCGAGAAACTGGGCAACGGATCCTGCTCGGTCGGCTTAGCCAGGGCGATCAGCTGATTCTTCAGTTCTCCGTTGCGTCCCCAGATCTGGTGGAGATCGACAGTTTGCTCGAGCGTGTCCAAGTTACCAATAGTTGTGTTGGTAACTGTTTGCTGGATGGAAGAAACGTGGGGGGGCTGCAAGTTTGGGTACATCGTCATACCCTGGGGGTAAGAAGGGTGCGGGGCTCCTGGGAAAGGGAGAAAATTCTGGTGCTGCTGCATATGAGGTAGCGTATGTTGAACTCTCATCTCCTCTTGGCCGGTTGGATACTGGGTAGAATGAAGAAGCAGGCCCCCCGTAACTTCCGAAGGGCCTGCCAGCGAGTTTGGGGGATTCGATAAAAAATTATTTCCATTACCTAATTGATGTTGGTGTCTATCGTAAGCGGCGTCCTCCATCTTCACGGGCATCATCTGATTTTCCTCGATCTGAGAGTTCGGAGGCGAGTCTTGGTGCGGTATGAACGGAGGCGCCGGATCTTTAGGCGGGTGGTGATGGTTGCTGACAGGTAGATTAGCTGGATCCGGTCCACCACTTTGCTTCACCGCGTTTTTATGCAATGTCGTATTGTAATGTCTTTTTAAATGTCCGGAACTAGTAAACCACTTATTACACGCAGTACAGTTGTAAGTTTTAGGTCTTCTCGCTTCGTTGGACTTCCAAGAAGCATTCCCTGAAGATTTAGACATGGCCGGCATGCTCGGCTTGGTTAAAGGAGGCATTTGAGATGAGGTAATCTGAGGAGGTAGTTGGTTCGGAGAATTGATATGGTGATCGTAATGATATGACTGGTGATGAGGTATTTCAGGTGAGTTAAGAGTAGTTGTAGTAACATTAAAGTCCGGAGAAGGCATGCCACTACCGTTCATCTGCATCGGATGGTACAGCTTTTTCTCTTGTAAACTGGTCATCCAAGGAACAATACCGGGATCTAACTGACTACTTTGACTATTTTGACTACTTTCTTCTCCCTGAGGGGGTTGATACACGTGAACTTTGTGCGAGTCTAAATCTAAAATTTCAGCTTGAGGTTCATTCTTAAGTTCTTGTTGGCCTATGTAATCGTTGTTAAAACCATAGTTATCATGAGGGGAGGGAGGATGAGAATTCTGAATATGCTCTAACAAAGAGGTAGGACTTTCACAAACATAACCGCACTTCTCGCACTGGTGGGAAGTCTGTTGGTTAGCCATCAGACCTGGAGATGATGAAGAAACTCCGCCGTTTCTTTGATCCTGATGGGTATACACGGGTTGTTGATAAGGGCGGTAGCGGTAAGAAGTTGTCGTTTGCATAACAAGAGGTGAAGGTGAAGTTGGTGTTGGGGACCGCCTGTGAGGAAACCCTGACCCCGTGCCTAGGATATAGTCAGGTTCGGCATTGGGGTTGTAATTGGAATTAGGTCTACTACCGTCTTGGCCAACAGAAGGAGGTCGCATATCAGATTGAGAATAATTAAATGAATTAGGTGGAGTTGATCGATTTACGGGGAAATTGAAATTTGGTGAAAATCTGTCCATGACCGAATCACTGGAGTCCGCCGGCACAGCGGCGACTCTGGGGGACTTGTTGGGTTTAACATTATTATTGTTACTCTCCTCACCAGAACTGTTGCCCCACTTGCTGAGTAGATTCTCCTTGTGGTACTGCAGATGCACGTCCAGTGACTTGCCGGAGTCGAAGAACAATCCGCAGTCCTTGCAGTGGTGCTGCATCGGCGGCTGGGCCATCTTCACGACAAACTCACTTCCAAAGTCCCCATCCGTGAGATCACTGTCTTTGAAAAATAAAAGAACTAAAAAGATAAAACACTAAGAACGTACAACCGTCACATCGTCGATAGTTCGGACGGACACAGATGCATGTTCGGTGCGGTACCGGAGCGACGCGGTTTTGGCATGGACTGTACACGACCTCGTGCGCACGGACGCACACACACGGACACGCGCGCTTCACTGGTACTGGACACGACAACTGAGGAGAGACTGACCGAGCGAAGTTTGGGCAGCGTGCGATCCAAGGACCCCCCCTCCTCCCCTCTCCCAGACATCATCTCCGCCAACCGCGTCCCGTCTCGCCCCTCTAGCTCCCCTCCTTTCTCTCAGATTCTCGCGAAAGATGACCTACCCTCCCTCCCGCTCCCCGAAGCGCATAATGAACAAGAAAGCCCCCTATCAACAAAACTAAATTATCTGAAACCTCTTTCGGACGGTATTACTTTTATACTTTCACTGACCTGCACCGCCTTTTAACTTTCAACGTGAAAAAGAAACATTGAATATGTAAATTTACCGATAACTAATGTAAATAAAAACTAGGGAGTTCCTTTCAAACTACTGTATGTATTGTCAAAATAAAATTGCCTTTATTTCAATATTACAAGTTTGCTATCTTGTAAATTTGATAGACAAAACTTTACTTTTGCCGTATAATGTATTATTTAGATATTACAGATGTTTAGATATTACAGACAGGAGAATAGGAGAATTGTCATATTTCATCTTAATCATAATATTTTACAATATTACAAGTTTGCTATCTTGTTGTAAATTTGACATACAACACTTTACTTTTACCGAATGGTCTATTTATGAGCTGTTTCGATATTACAGATAGGAGAATAGGAGAATTGTCATAATTCATCATAAATCATAATATTTTACAATATTACAAGTTTGTTATCTCCTTGAAAATTTGATTGACAAAACTTAACTTTTACCGAATAATTTATTTATCAGCTTTTTCAATATTACAGAGAGGAGAATAGGAGAATTGTCATAATTCATCATAAATCATAATATTTTACAATACTGTATTACGAGTTCGCTATCTCGTTGAAAATTTGATAGACAAAACTTAACTTTTACCGTATAATTTATTTATCAGCTGTTTCAATATTACAGAGAGGAGAATAGGAGAATTGTCATAAATCCCAAACTACCAATGAACTTTTGAGAAAACTACAAGTCCCACCCCCATCCATATATACATAAAATGTTCGTCATGACGAGAAACCTTGCACTAAACTTTCCATATAGGTACCATTATACCTAATGTTAAAAATACCTCGGCTGTACTATATGTATTTGTATGTGTTTGTATGGCTTATGGCTGTATTTGTATGTTATATTTTCAATTTATTATCTTACTAGCTGGCCCGACAGACGTCGTCCTGTCCTAATGTGGTTTTATGTCAAAAGCTCGTTCATTTTCAAGATGAGCTTGTTCGCATTGCTCAATCACGTCCTGGTTGAAGTTCGTTTGCTACGCTTACTCACCTTTTTAGGTTAGAGCTCGTTCGCTGTGCTCACTTGCCTTCAGGTTAGCTCGTTCACTACGCTAACTCGCCTCCAGGATGAAGTTCGTTCGCTACGCTCACTCACCTTTTGGTTGCAAATTAGCTGTTGTCATAAATTTAAAAAATAATAGTGCTGCACCCTGTTGGTAAACCTATTAACTTGTTAATGCTATTGAACACCACAGAATAAAAATGTTTAGTTGAACCAGCTGTTAAGATTCTTTAATTCAATTTAAATATGAGTACTCATAAGGTTAACATGGGAAACTGTAGAGCCACTGGGGCGGAGCCCTTTTGACGGATCTGCACCAAATTTCACACAAACCATCCTTGAATAATGCTTAATAATGCCTGAAAGTTTCATTACAATCTGTCGAGCGGTTTCGGAGCCCATAAAGGACAATCAAACAAGCAAACAAACAAACATAAATTGGATTTTATATATATAAATAGAATAAAATCAATCAGGTGTGATTATTTGTTTGTATTATATTTTGTTTATTTCAGCTTAACTTAATCTTACTAATATTATAAATGTGAAAGTTTGTGTGTTCGTTTGTTTGTTTGAAGTTCAATCACAAATTAACTACTGGACGGCTATCCGTCCAGTAACCCTATGGCTAAAATTTGGTATGCAGTATGAGAACGGAACTATATTTAAATATTGTACTGTACATTACTTTTATAATTTTTACAACATAATATTTTTCACATTTAATTACTTTAGAGCGACTCTATGATTGAGGTTTTGCTGTTTATGTTTTTTGTTCTTCATTATTGTATTACAAGATGCAGTTTTTCTCGATTTCGAGCAACAGGCTATCTAGTTCATTTTAAAAAGTATTAAAGAATTTCAATTTTGTCAGCTGTTTCAATTACACAAGTTGTTCTATGATATTTAATATTATTAAAATATATAAGGTTCACCAAAAGGGCGCAGCACTAATTATTTTATTTTAATTTATGATAGCATAGCTAATTTGAACCAAACCACAACAAAAAACTGTGATGCACAATGAGAACTGTTAAAGTAGGATTGTTTACAATCAAGTATGTTTTTAATTTATAAATAATGTTTTGATATTGTGCGAATATTTGATAATTTTATTTATACTTATACGCCAACCCCGTACAAAGGACGGGTGTTCTGCTAGTTAATCAATAGTTTTATTTAATACATATGAAATCAAACGGTTTTTAATAATAGGAAATATAACTGAAAAGTATTTGCGTATTTTTAAATTGTTGCTGTAGTTAATGTTACAAATTTTACAATAATGAACGTTTGCGTCTTGAATAAGTTTGCGTGAACTTAAGCCATTTTGTGAACGAAGTTAATACGTGTCCCTAATATTACGATCGGAAATTCGATATTTAAATGCTATAATTTGTGGATTCATTATAATTTGTAAAACTAAAATCCACTTCATAAATAAAGTACAGTACTGTCATGAAGGTACGAAATAGGCCCATGAATTATGCAAATGTGTGGATTTCTTTCGAATCATACTGTTAATATGTTCTTTCAGCAGGTCAGTTCTTTATCAGTTTGGCGATAACTATCCAAAAAATGCACAGTAATTAGAATGAATAATTTTAAAACACTTCTAGTAAACCTTCAGTGACTATATTTTGAACATTGGTTCAACCTATTGGCTCATTGATATTTTAACTTAATTTGATAAAACGTCCTTTACCTTTTCGAAAATTGTATAGTCTTGTAATACAGAAATAGTTAATCTCATTTTGACGTGTGTGTGACACCACTGTGCGGTGTATTGTTTGACGTCACTCGTGGTTTAAGAAAATAATTAAAGTTAATAATTTAAATTGAGAAAAAGAATATGACTTTTCATTTAAAAAATACCCCCGCCGCAGCAAACCTGCAGACTAAGCGAATTTCCATTTGCCTGATAGGATTTACACTAAAATGTCTCCTTAAATATATCACATTTTTCCCCTATTTAAATAACATTAATTAGTTTAACGAGTACTTAGGTTTGCTGCAACAGGGAGGGTAAAAAGGTGTTTTTTTATGTAATAGTTTAGTATGAAGTTAATGCATTTTCCAAAGTTGATCAAAATATGTTCATAAACAAGAAAACTACATCAGTCTACATATTCTCCATAAGAATAACGTGGGAATTTTAAATTTACAGTTTTTTTGAATTTTCTCCGTAACCATTAGGCGCATATTAACGCTTCAATATACTAAATTATTTGTTTTTTTATTTAAGCTCTACAAAATGGTTCGGAAAAATTTGCTAAATTTTAAGTTTTTAGGGTAAAAAATGGGGAAAACCTATTTTTACCCCATAAAACCCCCCATAAACCCCTGTTCCCATAGTCCGATCATGCTGGTTCGTGAACTCGTTCGAATAAACGTAGGTTTACACGTTTGTACCAGATTTCATCAAAATCGGATGATTTTTGCTCGAGTTATCGCGCTAACGGACACATATATAAATATATATATGAATTTGAACGGATGGTCATTTTGGTCTCTAGGGACCTCAAAACGAAAAAGTAAATCGGTCCCGGGTCCAGGTCTTACCATGAGTACTACGGCAATAGCTTATTCCCTATAGGGGAAATTCGCTAAAAACTAAATATAAGCCACAACAATAATTGTGATATAATTATTATACACGGAACAACCATTTATTTTAAGCACGTGCTTAGATTAAAGCACCTCATACTCGTCCCAACGGCATCATATGTGTATGTATTACATATATTATAAACGTACACATATAATATTAAGCATGAATAATTATATTTAGGGTTTTGAGCCAAATGTGTGTTTGATAAAAGTTAAAATTAGATCTTTAAATATCCACTAAGTTCGTTAAAAAACTAATTCAACTATACTTAAGTATGTATGATCCTTCGTAAATTTATATCGATATTATCTTCACCTCATAAAAGTTGTATTTTAAACGGTTTGTCCACTGGTATTCATGACATCAAATGCAATAAAGTAGGCCCGCTTTTTGGCACTAAAAGGAAAGAAAAGTGACAAATAGGATAGTTTCGAACTATTAGAAACTATAAGAACTTATTTATAGGTTAAATCTTTGCCTTGTGAAGAATAGTGCTTATAGGGAACACTTAAAGACTTGGAAATAAAAACTGTGTTAGTTCCTGTTTGATTGTACATATAATTTTATTTTTATTAAGTTCATTGTAAAACAAATTACTCCTGATATAATTAAATATGCTTCACGATCCAAAAGGTTACCTCCCGCCACCTCCGTGTCCCGCCACCTCCGAATTTCAGAGTGACCCCCATAATCCTAGGTTAATACCTGCGTTAAGACTTTCCGTCCTAACCTAACCTAACCTAACCTAACCTAAACCAACCTAACCTAACCTAACCTAACCTAACCCACGGGTTAAATTTTCATTAAATCTCCCATCCACGGGGCTTCGCAGCCGTGGATGCAATGACAGCTACCAACGCAGGCAGTGACGGTATTATTATAAGGGTCACTCAAGAATTCGGAGGTGGCGGGACAGATTTGGGTTCGGAGATGGCGGAACGCGGAGATAGCGGGAGCACACGATCCAAAACATCGGGCCAAGTTAGTACTCGTTGTACAAGAAGTTACAAGATGTCTCGGCTGAAGTGGAGTTCAGTGATAGTAGTTCGCGAAACTAAGTAAACGTGCATTCAAAT